GTTATGATTTCTCTGGGAACCAGATTATTTGTCACTGCCAGGCCTTCAAGTATTCAACCTTCAATCTTATTAGATGGCTTCACGGATGTTTCAAAACATCAAAATGAAAAAGGCCAAGAAAGGGACCGGATTATCTCCTGTCGTAATACTCCCCATCTGGCTACGTTGTGGAATGCCAGCATGCCGGGACTTGCTGCCTCCCAGTGTTTCTTTCTCTTCAGGATGGCATTGCTGATTTCTTAGAAATTGAAGAAGAACATTTCTAAGCATAGGGTAGCTATTGCTCTGAACAAGTTAACACCCTTTGCTTGGTATGACTTGCTCCTCTTTTGAGTGACACTGTGCCGCCTGATGCTGCAGGCACCCGGTGAACCCTTGGGAGCTGCTGTCCTAATTTAATTCAGTAAAGTCAATAAACCCTGAGCAAATATGTGGGTGCCATGAGGAGGAGTCATAAACACAATACAACATCACACCTGGCCCTAAGGAGCTCAGGTGAGATGGTGTACTTCCTGGTCTAGAGTCACTAGGAGCCAGAGCAGTAGCCTTGAGGACCCTGACCACAGAGGAATGACTTAACAGTAGCAGAACCATTGCTGCTTAGTGCAGCTACCTTGTCCCTACCCCAAGAAGATGGAAGGAGTTCTTGGAGGTGGAGGAAGGGAGGGCACTTTTTGTGGGGCTGCAGTCTTTCTTCTACACCCATCCACTGGTCTCCAAAAAAAGCAGGCACTCAATCTGCATCGATAGAGCTGAAGTGGGCTCTATTTTTTGGTAACGTTGCTAGTGGTAACATCAGTAAGTGAAAAAAAGCATTCCCTTTCCACTCTCTATTCAACTCTTTTTGTTGTCCTGAAGGAGACATGAGGTCCATTACTTATACCCCTGGGTTTGAGACAGAGACGAAAGGAGATAAGTCACTTCAGTGCATAGAGGCTTAATTGCTGGCAGGAGCAAAACACCTTGGAAGTGCTGAAAGGTGCAACAAATGAGAAATGCCTCCCCCAGCAAGGACTTCCCATCCGGGTGGCCCTAACAGCTGTTCACATAGAGCGCGTGTGCAGAGCCAGTGCTTCCAAGTGGGAGCGAACGCAGAGAAGCAAGTGGAAGCTAGAGGGGAAGGGACCAACACGGAGCAGAGGCCACTTTGTGCCACACACCGTGTCAGATCCTTGATGTACATGACCTCTAATAGCTCCCACCCCTACAACCTTCCAGAGAACTCATGTTGTCTCACACTAAACTGGGGCTCAGCCAGGTGAAGTAATTTGCCCAGGGTCTCGTAGCTCCTACGTGGTAATTCTCAAATTCTCAGGTGATTTTCAAATTCTCCCTGGCAATGGGTCTCTTTTTTCCAAACAAAACCTCACTTAAATCATAAGGAGCCCAGGTAATCAAAAGCTGACTATACGTGTTTAAAACTCTTTCTGAAGGAGAGCCACTTCTGCGAGGCAGCCAGATGGCGGTGGGTTCTGGGGTGAATGGAAAAGGAGGTGACAGGTCAGAGATGGGATCCCATTCAGAGAAGCTCTGGGCAGGAGGGTTAACCAGCCTTTCAGAGGTTAACCTTCAATTAGCAATTCCTCAAATCCTACAAGGTAAACTATGGAGCTAACAGATGAGAAAAACAAAGCTTTCTGGTCCCTACACTTAAATTTTATAATGACACTCTCTTTCCACAAAGTTTTTACTTGTGTATCTCAACAGAAAAAGAAATGCTGCCTCTCATTGTCCAGGTATAATGTCGTGCTATCATGTTTGTCTGGCATAGTGCGAGGCAGATTTGGGACTGTCCCTCAATGTTCTGCAGTTGCCATAGAAAGATGGCTGACGTTCTCAGAGCACTGTATGTGCTTGAGGAAAGTGGACTGTATGTAGTTAGCAGAGTCTCCAACACAGTAACCCAAGGCTGATAGCTATTTCTCACCCAACTTCTGCAACAGACATAAGTGTCCAAGAGGAAGTCAACTCCACAAATACTTATAAAGATCCTCTCTGAACAGAAAAACAGCTCAATTCCCCTCCTCAAAAGTCCCAGACAATTCACCCAAAGGCACAGTTTTGGAAAAACTGATTTTTTTTTTTCCCCTTGGGGTCAGGCAAGCAATATCTGGCATTACTTCTATGACACATTGCTGATGAAAGTCTCTCAAAACTGATGGTCATTTACACCAGGACAGATAAGACCATTGATATGTTTCCCTTCTAAGTATTCAAGTAAGAAGAGAAGGGGCCAAAGGATTGACTGAAGGTTTTTTATTGAACAGGACCCTGAGCAGCCCAGTGTTAAGTCCCAAAGGACTCAAAGTCCAGGAGAGTTTTTATGTCATACTTTTAAATTATAAGTTAAGAGAGTACTACAGATGTAATAAGAACTAGTAAGTGCTTTGATAACTTCATTTTATAAATTAGGTTACTTCTTAATCTGAATCTTTTAATATTATGAGAAAATATTTAAAAAATGAAGACTATATTAGAAGATTGAAGAAAATGTAAAGTAAAAATGTGGTTAATCAATTCTAATTTGACAATGCTCACACAAGGCTGATTTTCAACTTTTCCACATGATTTCATATGCTACCAGTGACTCTGCACTGTGTCATTCCCTATAGGAAAACAGGAACAAGGATGTGATGCTCCCTCAGGGTCCACTGTCACGTACAGATTGAGCTAAGCTAACCTCCCAAATGGAGAGGCTAAATGCAACCTCCAATAACAGGTTTCTTTTCTCTTCCACTTTAATGAGCTAAAATGCATTCATAATAAAAGCAGGGTAATCCTCAGAGTTTTCTGTTAGCTGCTCAAGCACTTCTCTTTTAAATTATACACTTTCCTTTTAGTGTCCTGGAAAATACTCTACTTAGAGTAGCTTAAACTTCTATTTGTGGTTTTAAAAACAGCTATCATAAAAATACTATATGACCTAGTAATAAGCCTACAAATGCTTTAAAAAGTATAAAGACCTGCTAAATTGGAAGACAGCAGTGCAGTTGATAGTAGGAATAGATTAGTAATCAGCACAATAATGAATTGACCTTCAGACGTGCTATTCTATCATGATTTTATTGTGAAATATGACTCATATATCTATTCTGTTCTAACAGTATCAACAACTATGATATGAAATTCAGAAAAAGATTTTCAGTTATTTCTAATCCCATTTTACCCAAAAGTTTGAAGGATATACTACATTAGGATTGCACTAGTAGATTAAATTGGTGAAAGAAACTGAACCCAAATCTTCAGAAAGGGCTCAGTAAGGACCATTGCAAATGAAGCTTTATTGCTAATACCATGTACCTTTCATCAAAGACATCACAGCCCAGCTTTTTTCCTACCTCTAGGGCTGTTACTTCTTAGTATGCCTCTCTAGCCACCTTGAAATGTGCAGATCCCTGAAGCATGCTCCTAAGCCACCTTCTTTACTTGTCTGTCTCTATTCCATCCATGGCTTTATTACCAACTATGTACTAATGACTCTCAAATTTATGTTTCCTTTCCAAATTTCTCATCTGAGCTCCACACTTACCTGTCCAAACAGCTACTTGTTTTTCCCCCTGGGATGTCTCATACATATTTCAAATTTAATGTGTCAAAAACCGAACACATGAACTGAACTTAGGAAAAGCTGTCCTCATCTATGCAATGTTACCAATGTCCATCAACGTCCATTTTGCTCATGCCAAAATCTTAGAGTCTGTTGGACCACAATTTCTCCTGTGTTATCAGTTACCAATGTCTGCTGATTGCTGCCTTCAAACCGTGTCTTTACTGTGTCCACTTCTCTCCAATATCACTGCCAACACCCTGTTATCTCTTCCTTTCTGCTTTCTTGCCTCCCCAACCCTTCACCACAAAACTGCCAGAGAGGGTCTAACCATAAATCAGTTCATGTCATTCCTTTTTTCTAAAAGCCTTATGCTGCTCTTAGGACCAAGTATCAAAGACCACTGTCGCCCTCACAGCTCTGCATGGTGATCAGTCCTTGCCCACCCTCTCTCTCCTGCTCATTGTGATCCAATAATAGTGGTTTCTTTCTGCTCCTCAGCAATACCAAACTCCATCTTTCCCCAACTTTCCTTTCATTCACATTACTCAGGGCCATGATTGAAAGGAGAGAGGCCTGGATTTTAATCTTGCATCTGCACCTTACTTAGTAAGTGGACTTCAGAAAAGTGAACTGCCTCTTCGGACCTAAGACTTTTCACATTTGTCTGAAAAAAATCTCTTTATGGCTGTCATACTCTGATTCTGTGAATGCACACTGTTTTCGATCCACAACAAAATTTTGTTTCCATCTAAAGTAAAACATCTCCTATTTGGCTTTGGAATTCTCTAGGCCACTCTTGCTTCAAGGTTTTTATCAATGTCACTTTCATTTGACCACATGACTTCTAAGATCTTTGAATTAGAGTTCAGGCTCATCAGGCAGGGCCTATAGCTGATGCATGCAGACACCTGGGCTTCTGCTCACTGCATGTTTCCTTCTGAGACTAGTAATGACTGTGAGTGTGGGGCCCAGCAAAGCCCCCATCATAGGTCAGGATTCTGGCAGGTGCTTCCCATGTTACTCTGAGTAAACTCCAAAGTTCTCTCATGTCCCCAACACTGTGGGCTCCTACTTTGTTCTAATCCCACTGGCCTCTACGCTTCTCAAACATTCCAAGCCAACTCCCCTCCTCAGGGCCTTTCCACTCTCTGTTCCACAAACCTGGCACACTCCTCCACAGGACGTTCTAATGACTCCTTCCCGCACTTCATTCAGGTCTCTGCTCAAATGTCAGACCTCACCAGAGAGGCCCTCCTTGACTATGCTATGCTCCCCCCACCTCAGCTGCTCTCTGTCTCTGGGCCCTGCTTTATTTTTCTTCTTCTTAGTTGTCACAACAAATTATACATGTACTGTCTGTCTCCTCCAGCTGGAACAGAAGGGTCATAAAGACAGGAAGTTCGTTTTGTTTCCTGTTGCATTTCCAGTGCTTAAAATAGCACACAGTAAGTATTCAGGATATCTATTTATTGAATGAATAAATAAAAGAATGAATAAGTGATGCTCTACTGGAATTCAAGAAGGCAGCAGGATTGAGGCTCTTCCAATCCAAAGCTGTAGGAGTGTGAAGGCCATAGCAGGTGGTATCAATGAGGGCTTGGGGGAGCAGCTTAAGTCGTCCTACCCCAAGGCAGGAGAGCCAAGATGCAGTGCTGCGTGCAGGAAGTGGAAGAAGCAAGGGCTGGGTTCATGGGGCTGCAGGTGGGGATGAGTCCCGGGGGCCTGCCAGTCAGCTAGGCCTCCAGCCAAATGAGCAGCTGAACCTCAGGCAGTTGGAGCAGGAGAACAGGGAATCCCCAGGGCAGTATCTGCAGAAATGAAAATCAGAACACAGGTGGCCTGTTACCTGGAGATGGATGGCATGTGCTGCCTTTTTTATGTATCTTGTTTTTCTAATGTGCCTTTTAAAATCACTTAACCAAATTCCAGATTTAAGACACCTGTGAATTAATTAACAATGTCACTAACTACCACCTCTCCTCCCCAAACATAGACTCAGGAAGTCCCATATAGTGTCTTAGTTCAAAACTCTTACCTTGGGTCCATGTACTTAGAGCCTTACCCAATGGCTCTCTAGCCTGTGAGCTCCTTGAGAGAAGCTTGTTATGCTGTCAGCACTGAATGCAGTCACCATCACTTAGTATGCTCTTGATAAATGTCAGATGACTCAATAAGTATATTTTGAAATAGATTTCCTGGAAGACACTAAGCTAAATATTCACTAACAAGCATCACTAATTATATGCTATTATCATCTTATACTGAATTATGCAGATGCTGGCAAAAATTGGTTCAAGGATTGGGGACTCACAAAAGAAATAAGTAATTGCAAAAATTTAGATAATATGTTAACTGTACTCTGACTATTAATAGTAATTTTAAATTGTATTCTAAATGTTAAAATTGAAATATTTAAAATAAAAATGCCATGTAAGGTATGATAAGACCAAATGATGCTAATGAAACCTTTATCTAAAATGTGGACTTTCCAGAGATATTTACCTGTACTGGGAGGAAGAAAAGTATGTGAGAAATATGATTATACCTCTGTATTATATTTTTATTTTAAATAGTTCAATTTTTAACATTTTGAATACAATTTAAAAATTACTATTAATAGTCATAATACAGTTAACATATTATCTAAATTTTTGCAAGAAAATGATTTGGTCTTTTCATAAAAAGACTATGTCTTCAATGTGATTTTATACCCTAGGGTGATTTTTTTCCTCACAATATAGAATATTTGATATAATTAGTTCAGCAAACATTTACTGACTGCATACAGTATACAACTCACTATGCTAGGTACAGTTAAAAAATATAAGCCTCACGTAACAAAAAACTCTGCAGTGGACTTACTAATCTATGTATACTCTACTGAGATTTATATGTACTTACCTTTATTTATATATTTATTTATTACCTATGTTCATTTCTATATTATATTTATATTTAATATGTTTATATTAAACCCGTTTGAAGGTGAGCATACTGTATATGGAATGCCTTTAAATATATTGTGATGTATGGCACATCCTGAGCATAACTACACAGCGACTCTCTAACATAAATGTTTTTGCTCCCATCCCCAGTATTCATCATCACAGTCAGGTACCTCTTTTCACTTAACCTCAAACCCTGTTTTGCATAAATGACCTCAAATATCATGCTCCAGAAGACCATTGGCTTCCCAGGGCACTGAGAGTAAAAGCCTGTGCCACTCCCTGCCTCCCTACACTTGTGAGGCTGGTTTCTTACAGTCTTGCAGGTCTCAATTCAAATGCCTCAGAGGTGTTCCCTGACCATCTGATCAAAAATGTCTTTGACATCAGATTCCTTGATTTTCCTTCCTCATAGCACTTTCCATTACCTGTAACTGCCTTGTTTATTGAGTTTACTGTTCATCTCCTCCATCTGGAGTGTAAGCTTGACCATAATTTTTGTTTTGATCCCTACCCAACCCCCAGCTGCCAGCACACAATATGCATTGAATCACTTATTAACTAATGAACTTCCTACCAAGCTTGAGTTTATTTCATGCATGTTATGAGAATTTTTACATGGCCATCAGAAAGCAAATAATAAATGTAAAAATCATGCTTTCCTACACAGTTTTCTACATTATTGTTGTGTAAGAAGATATATCTGACATTTAACAAAATGGATCATAAGTATAATTTAACAGTATCTACTGAATGAATCTCCCTAAATGATTATTTGTTGAACAAATGAATGAAAATATTTTTGTTCAAAATGAATGAGATTCCTAAAAAAATGCAGTTATAATGATTTACTAATATTCTCCTTCAACTTTTAGAAGAAAGCCAAAATAATTTTTATTAGTTGTGAATTATTTTTGTGGAAAAATAGTAGTTGTGGAAAAATTGAAATAGGCACTCCAAAACCACCTCAAATTGACTGCTTCAGTAAGTTTAATAGTTCCCTTACAGTCTCAAGTAGTGTTTCAGACAACAACAAAAAAAAACCCCACAGAAGTTTAAGATCCAAATTCCTCCTTCTTGTGGTATAAATCAAAGTTCATTGCTATGAAAACTAGATATTATGAAGTGGTTGGTTTTTCTTCAGAATAGAGAGTAAAATCAGAAAGTTCAAAATTCAGGATCTTTGGTTTGTATGGGGGAGAATCTGTGACTAACAGCATAGAGGCTCTCTAATGGAAAAACCTCACGTGTTTTCACATCCTACCTCCCAGCATAAGCTGGTGCTGGGTCACTTGCTGGGGATGCAGCCAGGAACAAAACAGACAGGTCTGCCCTCACCTGGGTTACAGCCCTATCAAACAGTGTAGGGTTATGAGCACGACACAGGCCACATATGACTAGAGCATTCCATGACTGCAAGGCCCCCCTGACCACCAAGGCTACAGAGGGGATGTTGTCAGAAGGTGAGCTCTGCAAAATGGGGCTCCAGCCTTGCATCACCTTCACTGGCAGGTTGTTCCACACTGTAGTCTGAAGGGTCCCCTTACAGGATTTGTATATCACTGACTTTCAAATCATCATTCACAAACTGTCTCCATGTAAGGGGCCCCCATTTTTAGGAACACTTGTAAATAAATTTTTTTTAAATGGAGCAAATGATTCATCACTATATTTTACCAGTCTACATGCTAGAAGAGAATTTTTGGTAAGAAAGTAACAACATCAGAAGTTAGTATAAACTATTATTCATTTTTAAATGGTAGCTTTTCTTATTTAAAAACAACAAACAAAACAACCTAGTGAGGGTATGGTGAGGGCTATTTCTATGCATTGTCAATCACAACTTCACTTTTCCTGAAAATCAGTTTGGCATTAAGTAACAAAAATCTTAAAAAGTTGTTCATACTCCTTGACTTGGAAATTACCGCCCATGGATCTTGCTTAAATAAGTAATCCGATACAAATATATAAAATGGAATATAAATAAATTTGTAACCTTTGTCCAAAAAAAAGAAGTAATTTGAAATTGAACAAAGATTTTCTCTAAGTGCCATTTATAATACCAAATATTTGGAAATGGCCTAAAGGTCCAATTGCAAGGGAATAGTTAATAAATTATGATATATCCATATAATCCAGTATTATACAGACATTAATAAAGCTTGCCTAGAAGTTGAAAAATATTTAGTACATAAGGTTAAGCAAACACAGCAGGCTGTAATACATTATTAACTATGGAAAAAAATTCATTAAAAATAAGGAGGAAGAAAATGCCAAAATGTTATGGGGTGCCTTTGGGTCATAGGATTATAGGCTAGTTTTTTCCCTGACTTTTTACACTTAATGTATTTTCCAGAGTTTTTACTGGGAGCATGTATTGCTTTTATGAGTAAAAACATCTCTTCAGAAACGCTAAGTAACTCCACTGTCTTACAAATACTTTCACATGTATGGTCACTGAGCCAATCTGACCCACTTTGCCAAGGGAGGCAAAGTTTGTATCACTCCTGTGCCATCATCAGCTTAAAAAGAGTATTCTTAAAAAGAGATTCTCTGGATTCACCCTGCATTTCTGCCCAAAGATGCTGATTGTCAAAAGAAAAATATTTTCTTTCTCTCCAGCAGCTGCAAATCTATCACTACTTCTGTGATTAGTTCACTATTTGCACAAGAGCCTGCTCCTTCTCAGCATTACTTTGGCTTCATGAGCCTCATATTCTTTTCATATCTCTACCAGTTTTATTTCAATGTAAATCATTTGTTTACATCTGACTGTCTTATTAGATTATGAGACCTGGTCCCTACCCTCAAAGATCTCATAATCTAATGGGAACAAAAACATGAACACTGTCCAACCCCCAAAATGACAAACATCCCCTGAATCTGGCTAATGTGAGTGACTGCTGCTTCTTCATCAACTACAGCATTAGCTTCTAGTACCGCCTCCTTCTAGATAAGATTTATTAAGATACAAAATCATAGGATTACCCCTGCTTCAATCCAGAGCAAAGACTGCTTCTGTAAACACTCTCCCAAATCATCTAACACAAGCCCAAATCCTGTAATGAATTTTTATGGAGACACCCCATGTTCTTCTGTGGTGTACATGCTTTCTCACTGTAGTGCATAGCAAGGGCAACTTGTTCAACTGCAGGTCAGTTCCTGGTGGCCTCCGATTGGAAGGCATTGATACATTCTTAGTTCTTCCTGGAATGCCCTCCTCTCTTCTCTCTGCCCAAACATATTCCTCAGAACTCACCTCCTCCTGGAAGCCTCCCCTGATTGGCTTTCTGTACTTTAAATGGTTCCATTCCTTTTAGTCTCCCTAATGTTTATGTTCAGCTGCTACTATGAAGTTTGCTTTTCATAGCACTAACTAGCACTGTGGTCTTGATTACTCTCTGAAAGATTCTTCTAACTCTAAAATCATATTATGCTAGTGTGTTTTAAAAGTTTTATGCATGATTGTTTTACCTGCTCAAATAGATTATGAAGTTCTCACAAATATGTCCATTTTTATATACCTTCTCATTCTCCTTCTTCTTATCATATATACACACAGTCCATTGCACATACATCCAGTCATATGAATTTGACCTTACAACTGTTGGGGAATAATATTCCACTAGTAAACTGTTTAATTTAGAGCATCTTCAAGTATAGACCTTTATAACTACAGTGTGTTCCATGTACCGGTACATTTAACAATGTGCTAGTGAGGGTTCTCTCTCTCTCCCTCTCTCTGTCTGTCTTTCCTCTCCTTTGTATGTATTTATTTCTAATTTTTCATATTTCTGGACAAAATACCTGTATGTATAAAGGTAAATTCAGGTCATCACAGCCGGCAGAGGTCCCTTCTCTTT